GAGATATATGAGTCAATGCATATATAGATATATGCGTTCATGTTAAGAGAGATATATGAGTCAATGCTTATATAGATATATGACTCAATGCGTATAGAGATATATGAGTCAATGCATATAGATATATATGAGTCAATGCTTATAGAGATATACAATGTATGAGTCAATGCATATAGAGATATATGAGTCAATGCATATAGAGATATATGAGTCAATGCTTATAGAGATATATGCGTCCATGTTTATAGAGATATATGAGTGAATGCTTATAGAGATATATGAGTCAGTGCTTATAGAGATATATGAGTGAATGCTTATAGAGATATATGAGTCAATGCTTATAGAGATATATGCGTTCATGTTTAGAGAGATATATGAGTCAATGCTTATAGAGATATATGAGTCAATGCTTATAGAGATATACAATGTATGAGTCAATGCATATAGAGATATATGAGTTAATGTTTATAGAGATATATGAGTTAATATTTATAGAGATATATGAGGTTATGTTTATAGAGATATATGATACAATGCTTATAGAGATATATGCGTTCATGTTTAGAGAGATATATGAGTAAATGTTTATAGAGATATATGAGTCAATGTGTAAAGAGAAATATGATACCAAGGATGTTATCAACCTACCCTAGATGTTATCAACCTATCGAGTATCCAATAAACCTACACAGGATGTTATCAACCTATCGAGTATGTAATAAACCTATCCTAGATGTTATCAACCTATCGAGTATGTAATAAACCTACACAGGATGTTATCAACCTATCGAGTATGTCATAAACCTCCCCAGGATGTTATCAACATATCGAGTATGTAATAAACCTACCCAGGATGTTATCAACCTATCGAGTATTAAATAAACCTACCCAGGATATTATCAACCTATCGAGTATGTAATAAACCTACCCTTGATGTTATCAACCTATCGAGTATGTCATAAACCTCCCCATGATGTTATCAACCTATCGAGTATGTAATAAACCTACCCAGGATGTTATCAACCTATCGAGTATTAAATAAACCTACCCAGGATATTATCAACCTATCGAGTATATAAACCTACCCAGGATATTATCAACCTATCGAGTAGTATGTATTAAACCTACCCAGGATGTTATCAACCTATCGAGTATGTAATAAACCTACCCAGGATGTTATCACCCTATCGAGTATTTAATAAACCTACCCTAGATGTTATCAACCTATCGAGTATGTAAGAAACCTACCCTAGATGGTATCAACCTATCGAGTATTTAATAAACCTACCCATTATGTTATCAAACTATCAAGTATGTAATAAACCTACCCAGGATGTTATCAACCTATCGAGTATGTAATAAACCTTTCAATGATGTTATCAACCTATCGAGTATTTAATAAACCTACCCAGGATGTTATCAACCTATCGAGTATGTAATAAACCTTTCAATGATGTTATCAACCTATCGAGTATTTAATAAACCTACCCTAGATGTTATCAACCTATCGAGTATGTAATAAACCTACCCAGGATGTAATCAACTTATCGAGTATGAAATAAACCTACCCTATATGGTATCAATCTATCGTTTATGTCATAAACCTCCCCAGGATGTTATCAACCTACCGAGTATTTAATAAACCTACCCATGATATTATCAACCTATCGAGTATGTAATAAACCTACCCTAGATGTTATCAATCTATCTAGTATGTAATAAACCTACCCTTGATGTTATCAACCTATCGAGTATGTAATAAACCTACCCTAGATGTTATCAACCTATCGAGTATGCAATAAACCTAATCAGGATGTTATCAACCTATCGAGTATGTAATAAACCTTCCCATGATGTTATCAACCTATCGAGTATTTAATAAACCTACCCAGGATATTATCAATCTATCTAGTATGTAATAAACCTACCCTAGATGTTATCAACCTATCGAGTATGCAATAAACCTAATCAGGATGTTATCAACCTATCGAGTAAGTAATAAACCTACCCTATCTGTTATCAACCTATCGAGTATGTAATAAACCTACCCTGGATGTTATCAACCTATCGAGTATGTCATAAACCTACCCAGGATGTTATCAACCTATCGAGTATGTAATAAACCTACCCTTGATGTTATGAACCTATCGAGTATGTATTAAACCTACCCAGGATGTTATCAACCTATCGTGGATGTAATAAACCTACCCAGGATGTTATCAACCTATCGAGTATTTAATAAACCTTCCTATGATGTTATCAACCTATCGAGTATTTAATAAACCTACCCAGGATGTTATCAACCTATCGAGTATTTAATAAACCTACCCAGGATATTATCAACCTATCGAGAATGTAATAAACCTACCCTAGATGTTATCAACCTTTCGTGTATGTAATAAACCTACCCAGGATGTTATAAACCTATCGAGTATTTAATAAACCTACCCTAGATGTTATCAATCTATCGAGTATGTCATAAACCTACCCTAGATGTTATCAACCTATCGAGTATGTCATAAACCTCCCCAGAATATTATCAACCTATCCAGTATGTAATAAACCTACCCTATCTGTTATCAACCTATCGAGTATGTAATAAACCTAATCAGGATGTTATCAACCTATCGAGTAAGTAATAAACCTACCCTATCTGTTATCAACCTATCGTGTATGTAATAAACCTACCCAGGATGTTATCAACCTACCGAGTATGTAATTAACCTACCCAGGATGTTATCAACCTATCGAGTATTTAATAAACCTTCCTATGATGTTATCAACCTATCGAGTATTTAATAAACCTACCCAGGATGTTATCAACCTATCGAGTATTTAATAAACCTACCCATGATATTATCAACCTATCGAGTATGTAATAAACCTACCCTTGATGTTATGAACCTATCGAGTATGTATTAAACCTACCCAGGATGTTATCAACCTATCGTGGATGTAATAAACCTACCCAGGATGTTATCAACCTACCGAGTATGTAATTAACCTACCCAGGATGTTATCAACCTATCGAGTATTTAATAAACCTTCCTATGATGTTATCAACCTATCGAGTATTTAATAAACCTACCCATGATATTATCAACCTATCGAGTATGTAATAAACCTACTAAGGATGTTATCAAACTATCAAGTATGTAATAAACCTACCCAGGATGTTATCAACTTATCGAGTATGAAATAAACCTACCCTAGATGGTATCAACCTATCGTATATGTAATAAACCTACCCTAGATGTTAGCAACCTAGCGAGTATGTCATAAACCTACCCATGATGTTATCAACCTATCGAGTATTTAATAAACCTACCCATGATGTTATCAACCTATCGAGTATGTAATAAACCTACCCAGGATGTAATCAACTTATCGAGTATGAAATAAACCTACCCTAGATGGTATCAACCTATCGTATATGTAATAAACCTCCCAAGGATGTTATCAACATATCGATTATGTAATAAACCTACCCAGGATGTTATCAACCTATCGATTATGTGATAAACCTACCCATGATGTTATCAACCTATCGAGTATGTAATAAACCTACCCTGGATGTTATCAACCTATCGGGTATTTAATAAACCTACCCTAGATGTTATCAACATATCGAGTATGTAATAAACCTACCCAGGATGTTATCAACCTATCGAGTATGTAATAAACCTACCCAGGATGTTATCAACCTACCGAGTATGCAATAAACGTACCCAGGATGTTATCAACCTACCGAGTATGTAATAAACCTACCCAGGATGTTATCAACCTATCGAGTATGTAATAAACCTACCCAGGATGTTATCAACCTATCGAGTATGTAATAAACCTACCCAGGATGTTATCAACCTATCGAGTATGTAATAAACCTACCCAGGATGTTATCAACCTATCGAGTATGTAATAAACCTACCCAGGATGTTATCAACCTATCGAGTATGTAATAAACCTACCCAGGATGTTATCAACCTATCGAGTATGTAATAAACCTACCCAGGATGTTATCAACCTATCGAGTATGTAATAAACCTACCCAGGATGTTATCAACCTATCGAGTATGTAATAAACCTACCCAGGATGTTATCAACCTATCGAGTATGTAATAAACCTACCCAGGATGTTATCAACCTATCGAGTATGCAATAAACGTACCCAGGATGTTATCAACCTGTCGAGTATTTAATAAACCTTTCCAGGATGTTATCAGCCTATCGAATATGTAATAAACCTTCCCAGGATGTTATCAAACTTCCAAGGATTTTATAAACATACAAAGGATGTTATCAAACAACCATAGATGTTATCAACCTACCCAGTATGTTATCAACCTACCAAGGATTTTATCAAGCTACCACGGATGTTGTCAACCGACCCTAGATGTCATCAACCTACCCAGGGTGTTATCAACCTATCGATTATGTAATAAACCTTCCCGTGATGTTATCAAACTTCCAAGAATTTTATAAACATACCAATGATGTTATCAACCAACCATAGATGTTATCAACCTACCCAGTATGTTATCAACCTACCAAGGATTTTATCAAGCTATCACGGATGTTGTCAACCTAACCTAGATGTCATCAACCTACCCAGGGTGTCATCAACCAATGATGTTATCAACATACCCAGCACGCTATCAATCTTCCCTCGATGTTATTAACCTACCCTCGATGTTATTAATCTACCCTCGATGTTATTAACCTACCCTCGATGTTATTAATTTACCGTCGATGTTATCAACCTACCCAGTATGTTATCTACCTACCAAGGATTTTATCAAGCTACCACGGATGTTGTCAACCTACCCTAGATGTCATCAACCTACCCAGGGTGTTATCCACCAACCAATAGTGTTATCAACCAATGATGTTATCAGCATACCCAGGACACTATCAATCTATCCTCGATGTAATTAACCTACCCTCGATGTTATTAATCTACCCTCGATGTTATTAATCTACCCTATATGTTATCAACCTACCTTGCGTTTCGTTCTAGCCTGCACCTCTACTCGTTTATCAACGATTTCTCCTGGAATTGTGCTAATCCATAACTTCATGATTATTATAGAATAAGCAAACGTCATGACAATGATAGGAACAAAGTAGAGGACTACGGAGACCACGACATAGTAAGCTGTCCTCGACGTCTGCTCTGTCACCGTCACATTGTCCACTGTCGTCGTCCATGTTGGGAACTCGTCATCGCACCATTGCTCCACGTGATCAGACCAATGGCGGACGTTCAACTTCCGGTAGAGAAGGACAGGAAGAGCCACAGCCAGTGCAGATAACCAAATGAGAATAAGAGAGGTACGAGCCCGCTTCTCTGTCATGTGGGCACGCAAGGCGAACACAATCCCAAAGAACCGGTCATAGGCAATGAGTGTGAGGGAAAGCACGCTAGCCACGAGTGACAGGACTGAAAGTAGAGGAAAATACGAAATCAGCATTAAATCACCTACAAATGGAAACCTGTGTGAAATAGAGGACACAGGAACAGACTAACCAATACAATGCTTGAACGATATCGTCATTACATTGTAGCTGTAAGCAGTGGACATAATCCGCATGTAACGATCTTATAATATGTTTGGTTTATAGGTTTATTTATAATCTGTACAAAGAAATATTCCATTGTAAACAATGGCGCAGTGTACAGCTGTACAGAATACGGTTAGGACGCTGCTGTATAACTAACATAGACATTTTCAATCTGAGGGCATCGATTCTTGAATGTCCAAACTCTGGAAAACCTTCGTTTGGGAGTTTTGTAATTCTTATCCTGATGTGAGTTTTCTGTCGTACCCTCGAGGTAGGGAATGATACACTGTCTTCCTGTTTCAGATGATTTTTTTCACCAACCGCCTAGCTAAAATATGACGTCATCTGATAATAAAATAAATGTGACGTCATTAAACAGTCAACCAAAAAAAGACCATCTGCCGAATGAACTACGTAACAATAGCTATGTCTCATGTGATTGTGTGCCTCGGTATCGTTATTGTGAACATAAATTATGATCAACAGGACAAGTGTTTGATTGTTTTAAATATCAAAGTTCGATGTGAATGAGATGCTATAGCTTTACACTACGTAGTATAGCTCCCTGATGTCTACTCTAGCAGACATACTTCACCAACACAGCCCGTCAACACCGACACCAAGTCAAGGTGACCTCTAGCATTTCTGAAGTAACAACCATTGACGTACATTAGAGGCGTTGATTCAAAAGCGATCAGATTTCATTAGTAATCCTCCAGTCAAGAGCAATTGGGGGGGACGCATGGAAAATCAGAATAAAAAAATGACACAAAAAAAACACTTCACATTTTTTCGGTATTTCGGCGTATTTTACTTCACAATTAGTGTTCTGCTAAAGTCTTTCGAAGATTGATTGTCATATGTATTTAAACGGGACAAGTCAGTGAAATATTGGGCCTAATTAACATGGCCCAGCGTTGAGCGGATACAATGTGTGTGTTTATGTGCGTCACAGTTTTGACAATGGACATATCATTGGGGTTGGCGTCGATAATCTGTAGATGGTCCAATCGCTGTTGTGATTTTGATGAAATTAATGAAACTCGTCCTAACGTTTATGCTTTCTCGCACCAAAATGTTATTTATTGAATTTTCCTCTGTTTTATACGTCAGACCTGAACTCGAACCTCATTTATATCTATTAGCAATTAACAGGAAACGTTGTCATTCTACCACGAATGCAAAGCGTATCAAGCTGTGGAAGAAACAATCGGCAACAACATACAGTACAGATCGTATATTAAGGATTTTGCAACATTTTCTTTCTACATCTACATCTACAAAGTAATGACCACCTTCATCTATTTGAAGAGCATGTCATGTGATAGTGGGTGCAAGGTCAAGAGAAGAAAAGATAAAAGATAGTGAAAGGGAATATTTATAAAGTATGGGAGTAAGAATTGTTTTTTGTTAAGGGACAGTTTAAAGCAGTCAGAAGAGGTAATGGAGGTTATATCTGGAGGCAGGTTATTCCAGTCTACTATGGTACGAGGGAAGAAGGATTGTTGTCGTACCTGTGTTCTACATGAGAGTGTTTGATATGAGTTCCGGTGTGCGTGTCTTGTGTGGCGGGATGGAGGTATGAGTTGGTCTTTTCTTATATTGACTTTGTCATGTATAGTTTTGTGTAGTATTGTCAGTCGCATGACTCTCCTTCTGTCTTCAAGTGATTGCCAGTTAAGGCATTGAAGCATGTCACCAACACTGGAGGTGTTTCTAAATTTGTTGGTGACTACTCTGGCTGCTATACGCTGCACCATTTCAATTTTGCTTATGTCTGTTTTAGTATTAGGGTCCCAAACTGAGCAGGCATATTCTAGGGATGGTCTGACAAGTGTTTTATATGCCCGCTCCTTGACAGATGGAAAGTTTATCTTTAGATTTCGTCTGAGAAAGCCTAAGGTGGAGTTGGCTTTCCCACAGATGTTATTTATGTGACATTCCCACTTGAGATTTGACTGTATAGTGACACCTAAATATTTTGCTTTGTCTACGTGTTGTAATTCCTTTCCGTACAGCATGTATTTGTAATGTTGTGGGGGTTTGTTGTTGGTGATGGAAAGGACGTTACATTTGTCAGGATGGAAGGACATTTCCCATGCTATCTCCCATAGAGCTAGTTTGTCTGTTAATGGGACTCGTAGATATATAGTATGTGTTTAGGTGTGTGAATTAGAAACAGCTATTAATGAAATATCTAGAAACTATTCACGAAATGTTTGGGAAAGGACAAGACAACCAGCACCACAAACACATCTGAGGGATGAACATTTACAAGTTGACCAATTTTCGTGAGCGTCACTGCTGCTTGAAGAACATGGATAGCCGTAAGTTGGTTGAGTGTATTTTGAGGATCTTTTTACAGTTATTTTGTTAAGGTTTCATAGCTTTTTATCTGTCACAGTTTCGTGTAGTTTTACGAAAATTTCGTGACAGTGTAGATGTGGACACAAATCAACGTCCTTATTAAAAATAAGTCAGAGACTGATAGACGCTCACTCCTCGTATACATCAATTACCGATATACTCTAAACAACGCCGAGTCTCGCGGGAGTTCAATGTGATGGCGCTCTTATCCACTTACACTTGTGGGTAAATTACAGCCAGCTGATCCAGCCAAATATCACTGATAGACAAGGTTCCGCGATTTCTTCAACATTTTTTAGACTTGACAAATGATATCAAAAAAAATAAAAATAAATTCATTTAGCAAGGCTAGTTCATCTTAAATAACAAATTTATATTGCAACATTACTTACACTGTCTCAGTGTAAAGGAACATTACTTACACTGTAGCAGTATATAGGAACATAACTAACACTGTAGCAGTATATAGGAACATAACTTACAATGTAGCAGTGTTAAGGAACATTACTTACACTGTAGCAGTGTTTAGGAACGTAACTTACACTGTAGCAGTGTATAGGAACATAACTTACAATGTAGCAGTGTATAGGAACATTACTTACACTGTAGCAGTGTTTAGGAACATAACTTACACTGTAGCAGTGTATAGGAACATAACTTACACTGTAGCATTGTATAGGAACATAACTTACACTGTAGCGGTGTATATGAACATAACTTACACTGTAGCAGTGTAAGTTATGTTCATATACACCGCTACAGTGAAAGTTATGTTCCTATACAATGCTACAGTGTAACTTATGTTCCTATACACTGCTACAGTGTAAGTTATTTTCCTATACACTGCTACAGTGTAAGTAATGGTCCTTAACTCTGTAGCAGTGTTAAGGACCATTACTTACACTGTAGCAGTGTATAGGAACATAACTTGCACTGTAGCATTGTATAGGAACATAACTTTCACTGTAGCGGTGTATATGAACATAACTTACACTGTAGCAGTATATAGGAACATCACTTACAATGTAGCAGTGTTAAGGAACATTACTTATACTGTAGCAGTGTCAAAGAACACAACTAACCCTGTAGCAGTGTTAAGGAACACAACTAACTCTGTAGCAGTGTTAAGGAACACAACTTACACTGTAGCGGTGTTAAGGACCATTACTTACACTGTAGCAGTGTTAAGGAACATAACTTACAATGTAGCAGTGTATAGGAACATTACTTACACTGTAGCAGTTTCTAGGAACATAACTTACACTGTAGCAGTGTTAAGGCACATAACTTACACTGTAGCAGTGTTAAGGAACATAACTTACAATGTAGCAGTGTCAATTAACATAACTTACACTGTAGCGGTGGATATGAACATAACTTACACTGTAGCAGTATATAGGAACATAACTTACAATGAAGCAGTGTTAAGGAACATTACTTACACTGAAGCAGTGTATAGGAACATAACTTACACTGTAGCGGTGTAAGTTATGTTCCTATACAATGCTACAGTGTAAGTTATGTTCCTATACACCGCTCCAGTGTAAGTTATGTTCCTTGACACTGCTATTGTGTAAGTTATGTTCCTAAACAATGATACAATGTAAGTTATGTTCCTAAACACTGCTACAGTGTAAGTAATGGTCCTTAACACTGCTACAGAGTTAAGGACCATTACTTACACTGTAGCAGTGTTAAGGAACATAACTTACACTGTATCAGTGTTAAGGAACATAACTTACACTGTATCAGTGTTAATGAACATAACTTACACTGTAGCAGTGTATAGGAACATAACTTTCAATGTAGCAGTGTATAGGAACATTACTTACACTGTAGCAGTGTTAAGGAACATTACTTACTCTGTAGCAGTGTTAAGGAACACAACTTCCACTGTAGCAGTGTTAAGGAACACAACTTACACTGTAGCAGTATATAGGAACATAACTTACAATGTATCAGTGTATAGGAACATTACTTACACTGTAGCAGTGTTAAGGAACATTACTTACACTGTAGCAGTGTCAAAGAACACAACTAACCCTGTAGCAGTGTTAAGGAACACAACTAACTCTGTAGCAGTGTTAAGGAACACAACTAACTCTGTAGCAGTGTTAAGGAACACAACTAACTCTGTAGCAGTGTTAAGGAACACAACTTATACTGTAGCAGTGTTAAGGAACACAACTTACACTGTCTTACAATGTAGCAGTGTTAAGGAACATTACTTACACTGTAGCAGTGTCAAAGAACACAACTAACACTGTAGCAGTGTTAAGGAACACAACTTACACTGTAGCAGTGTTAAGGAACATAACTTACACTGTAGCAGTGTTAAGGACCATTACTTACACTGTAGCAGTGTATAGGAACATAACTTACAATGTAGCAGTGTTAAGGAACATTACTTACACTGTAGCAGTGTTAAGGAACATACCTTACAATGTAGCAGTGTCAATTAACATAACTTACACTGTAGAAGTGTTAAGGAACATTACTTACACTGTAGCAGTGTTAAGGAACATAACTTACAATGTAGCAGTGTCAATTAACATAACTTACAC